GATGTTCTAGAGTATAAGTGTAATAGTAAATAAGTATAATGTGATATAGTTTTCGACTTCGACCAGTCTTAACGTATGGTGTAAATACGCTCAAAAATAAGCGCACTTTTGCTGTCCAAATCCTTATATTTCTATTTTATTATTTATTGTTTAATGAGTGATTTTTAAAAGCTAGCTTAAATTGAGATTTTAAAACTAGATTTTGATTTTGATTTCTGGCGCAAAGCGCTACTGGCATTGACCCAAAGATAGTTCTTGACACTGGAAACTTGCTTAAGTGAGTGCTTATTGTTACGCTAGTTCAATATGATAGACATTTGATAAGGTTCAGCTTTGAACTTTATAGTAGGTCCATCGGAATGTTTCTCAATCATTAAGGGCTAGAAAAGATGGTTCCAGCAGTGATCATATTCTTTGAACATCACGCACAGAATTTCTCAGCCCACACTCTATACCCACTGTGAATAGTTTCTTAAAGCTGGAAAAATCTGATTCTTGCTGATTTGGGATGAAATAAGTTCTTTGGACCTTTAAAACATTGGCAGATGGAGTAAACAACAGTCGTAAATTTCTTTCAGCGTTTTTGAGGAAAATTCGTAAATAAAATCTACAGTGCTAGTTGCAAATGACTATTCTGCGTTGTGTCTGTATGGTCGTACAGCATTGGGACAAGAAGCAAAAGTTGAGGTGTTTAAATGGTCACTTATTAGACTTAGTATCGTAGTGGTTTGGAAACCTATACCTAACCCTCTTTGTGGAATTCGGCACTGGCGAACAATTAATCGTCACAAATTTGAAAAAAAGCAATTCGTTAACCAAATTCTGCATATACAGGTGATAGGAAGTATAGTTGAAACATCGGAAATTTTTTTTCTCGAATGAACGAATATCAAATGTTCGTCTGTCATAAAAACATTCGGATGAATGAATATTATTCACATCGTCATTTAAAATATACTCGAAATCAATTACTCGAATAGTGAGGGTATTTTATATTCGATTATTCGAATTATCAAACATTTAGGCATGACCGAATAAACATTTACTTGATTATTCGAATGGCAAAAATCGAATTATTCGAACACTTCACCTAAACATAATTACGCAATCTCAATCATATTCTATGACTTTGCAGATATTCGATCGAGCAAATAATCGGTGATTTCGCAGACTTCGAACAATCGAGCATTATTCGAATTTCAGTTCCAAAATCATTCGCACTCGAATATTCGAGTGCCGATTTTACGAAATGTTCGACTATTCAAATAATCGAATAAATGTGT